TCACCCAGACTGGAGTATAGTGGCATAATCACAACTCACAACAGTCTCAAAATTCTGGGTTCAAGTGATCTTCCCACCTTAGCCTCCTGAGCAGCTAAGACTATAGTCATGTGCCTGTAGAGACAAGGTCTCATTATATGGCCCAGGCTGGTCTTGAACTCCTGGGCTCAAGCAATCCTCATGCCTTCGCCTCCTAAAGTGCTAGGATTATAGGCGTGAGTCACCATGCCTGACTGGCAATAAGTTTTTCAAAATTAATTAGCCACAAAATTCTGTTCTTGCACAATATTCACACTTGCTTCATTCAAACTCACTAAATATATTCAGAGTTTTCCCACTTTTTCAAATAGAAATGCCACTCCATAAAAGCAAAAATTAAATAACAACAACAAAAACCCAGAAACTGGAAGGAAAAAAAAAAAAAGAAATTCAAAGGAAACTCAGTTGTAAGCCTTCTCCTTGATTTCCTTTATGGCAAAAGCTGCATTTGGCTTTTGCTAGTCTTCATTCTTTAGACACCTCTCTACACCGCTAACTGGAATTGTGGCTCTAGTAGAGTGTCAGGGAAGAAGATAGAAAGATGAGAATACATTGACTCCAAAGCTCTTCTCATTAAGAATTGCCTACTTGATTCGAGCAGCATTCCCCCCAACCCATGTCACCGGGAACACCAGTAAACCTGGTAAATACTACTGAACTATATACCTAACCAGTGTGTGTCTGTACTGGAAAGGGGCCCAGGTGTTCTGCTTCATGATGTAAGACATAGGAGTGTTCCGATTGTTGCTTTAACAAATGAGCCCATTGGCACAAAATTGCCTTGAAAGGCTTCACAAAGCCTTCACTGTTTAGAAGCCCAATTCTATGTCGCTCAGAGAGATGGGCACAACAGGGATGATGGCAGCTGGTAGGAGGATATTGGTATGGAGTGAGGTAGCCTGAAGACATAAGAAGTAGAGCTAGTTGAAGGCACCAGAAACAGAAAATACTTTTTATTCTCCTTTCCTTTTCTGAAGAGCAAATATTAAGACTTAACATATACCAGACACAATGTATACACCTCCTGAGGTAGATACCATTATCACTCTTATTTTCCAGATGAAGAATAGTAGTCTATTGCAGTAGATAAGAACTAGGACTTTGCAGCAACTGGGACTGAATTCTGTCTCTACTTCTCATTAGCTCTGTGTTCATGGGTAAGGCACTGAGGTTTAGTTCTCACTCCCACTAAACTGTAAAATATGTGAAAGCAGGAATTATATCTGCTTTGATCACTGCTTAAAGCCCTTAGCAACATTTTTTTTTAGTAAATAAAGAAATAAGGCCAAATTTAATTCCCAGTTGAATAGAGAGATATAAGTATGTTAAGATAAAGTGAGCTGAATGCTACAAAACAACCTAGACAAATTTCTACCAGTCAAGAAATAGTTTGGACTAGAGAAGACAATATAATTACTTCTTTAAACTCCACACATTCCACTTTATTCCTGTCTCTTCCTTATTACTGTAGACTTTATAATCATCACCCACTGAGATAATGCAACCTAGCTTGAAAGTCTCACAGCCTCTGTTCTGAACCGTGAAATAAGCTCTTTTCCATGTCTACCATGCACCCAGAGCTTGCTTCCCTTGTGTTTAATTTTCCTGCCTTAGATCTCCAAGGACCCTAGCTACATGAAATACCACTTCTCCTGAGATCGTTCTCTAATTATCAGAATATATCTCTAATTTATCTGGAATGGCCCAAGCCCTTTAATATTATAAGTTATCCAAACTTCAGGTAAACTTCTTCCTAACTCTTTTATATGTGGAACTCAATCTTTTTTGAGTTTCTCCTAACTCATCTATACTTTAATGCTCCTATGGGATAATTTCTTGTGTTCTGAAGCCAATTCGTCAAGGGGGAGGGGTCGTCACTGATCATCACATCCTAGCTTGTTTTGAGATCTTCCTATTTTTTTTGTGAAGCATTTAGAATATCAGCAAAGGGAAGCCCAACAGAGGGAGAAGATAGGTGACTGAATAAAACTAAGGAGATTTTACTTTCAAGTGTAAAAGTATTGAGAAGGGGGATGTTTATTCCTTTATTACAAATTCAATGAGTATTTACTACATCCCAGGCCTTGTTTGAGTTGCTGAGGACATAAAGTTAGTTCTACTCCTTAAAGAATTGATAGTCTAGGACAGGGTTTCTCAATCCCAGCACTACTGACACTGGGCAGGACAATTCATTGTTGTTTGCAGAGAAAGTTATCCTGTGTAGTGCAGGATATTTAGTAGCATCTCTGGCCTATACCCACCAGAAGTTAGTAGGAATCCCCTCACCCACCACCCTGCCTTCCAGTTGTAACAACTGAAAATATCTCCAGATATTGCCAAATGTCCCCTGGGGGTCAAAAGTGCCTGCTAGCTGAGAACCACTAGTTTAGGAAAAGCAGATCGTTAATATAATACACTATGATAGGTATTATTATCACAATTTTGAGAGTAGAGAAGGCTCCTTAATTTTGGGGGGTAAGCAGGAGAGGATGTTCTAGATCTCATAGAATAAATGATATTTATGCTCAATATTTGAAAAATGTTTTGCTGTGGACCAAATAGGCAAGAAGAAGAGGGAAAGTTAGGGATATAGAGAGTGAGTAGGAGAAAATGAGTAGAGAAAGGTCATTCAGGTAGATACAGGAAGATGAACAAAAACCTGGAAGAAACAGACCACAGAATATTTAGGCAATGATGGATCATTTCTATGGGGGAGATGAAAAATAAGTCTGGGAACACATACCAAGAAAGGAGGTGGAATTTTAACATAAGGAAATAAATATATATTTTGGCTGGGTGCGGTGGCTCAAGGCTGTAATTCCAGCACTTTGGGAGGTCAAGGCAAGAAGACTGCCTGAGCCCAGGGGTTCACAACCTGTCTGGGCAACTTGGTGAGACCTTGCCTCCACAATAAGTGAAAAAATTAGCCAAGCATGGTAGCACGTGCCTGTAGTTCTGGCTACTTGGAAGCCTGAGGTGGAAGGATCGCCTGAGCCCAGCAGTGTGCCACTGCTCTCCAGCCTGGGCGACGGAATGAGAATCCAACTCAAAAATCAAAAACAAGCCTGGCTTGGTGGCTCAGCCTGTAATCCCGCACCTTTGGGAGGCTGAGGTGAGTGGATTGCCTGAGCCCGCGGGTTCGAGACCCACCTGGGCAGCGAGATCTCATCTCTACAATAAATCAAAAAATCAGCCGGGCGTGGTAGTGCATGCCTGTAATTCCGGCTACTTGGAAGGCTGAGGTGGAAGGATCGCCGGAGCCCAGCAGGTCGAGGCTGCGGTGGCCGGGAGCGGCCACTGCACTCCAGTCTGGGCGACAGAGTGAGACTCCAACTCAAAAAAAACCAAAAAAAACAAAAACCAAAAACAAAACAAAACACAGAAGAGCGCTTTTTAAAACAAAGCCTTACCTAGATCCCCCGTATATTAAACAAATTAAGTGGAACTGCTTTGGTTGGACCATGGTCCACTTAGTTTTCCCCTTAGCTTCTAAGTTGGCTTCTGAAGCACTTCTGTGGAACCCTAGAACTCTAGACACATATTGGAAAAACCACTTTTGTAGGCAATAGGGGTGCACTGAAGGATTTTAGGTGCAGAATATAAGTTCAGAGTTGCTTTTCAGAGAAAGCATTCTAGTGGCAGAGCTCAGTATGGAGTAGGGACAAGGGTCTCCTAAAGGCATGGAGACCATTCAGTATTTCATACGTGGGCTTCACTTGGAGAATAGTCTTGAGGATATGATACATAGGAAAGAGCACATTGGCTTTAAGTTGTACAAATCTGGCTTAAAATTCCAGGTATGTCACTGACTATGACCTCAGGCATGTTAATTCATCTTGTTAAACTCTATTTCCTTTTTCTATAAAATGGGGCTACCTACCTCACTTGGCCACTATAAGAAAATACATGTAAACAGAGGTCAGGGGTTGGCATAGATAAGCAAGCATTCAGTAAATACAGATATGTATCCTCTTCTTTCACTTAGTCCCTTTATAAATCAGGTTTATTAAACCTCTTTGATCCTATGTAACTTTGAGTATTAAAAAAGAATATTTAATTGCTTGCGGTTAATGGATTTTCTATTTGTTGGAGAATAGATACGAAACTCTTTTTTTTTAAGGAGGTATTTTTTGAGTGACCTGTTAGCATGAGCCACATTCTAACAGAAGAGGTTATTATTTGGCTTCTTCTTACTTTGAGATCTGTGAGGACATCTCAGGAGAGTTCAAAACAAGAGTGGCCAACGCCCAAGTACTACATGTGTCTGTCTGGCACAGAGACAGTGTTTCTGGACTTCCTCAGGTTAGCAGAGCTTACATCAGTTCCATGGTTAGAAAGTCAGCATCTAAAAATTTCACTTGTGTACAAATCTTTCAAGAGACCAAGTGGTGTTAGGATTACAAGGCCTAGATTATAAAAGTCAACTTACAAATCTAAATTTCTCTCTATTCTTTGCCATTCTGTGTCAGTAAATACGTCTTCAGTTGTGAATATTTATGACCTCAGAGAAAACACTCTTAAAGAGCACTTATCTGTTTTTTCCTTTTCTCTTCCATTGTTTGTCATCACAGTGACAACATAATATTAGCTAAGAGAAATGTCCACCATAAGAAGGTGAAAGGTGTGGGGCTTGGGAATATAACTGTATGGAGAACTGACAGTGGGAAGAGTTTAGCTAAAGTTCTTTAGGACCACAGGCAGCGTATGAAAATTAGAGCATTATGCGAGAAGTCTTACAGAACCAGACTCTTTCAAACTTTAGACAACAAGGCAGTAAAAGCTTTCTAATACTTTCAAGGCAGTCTTCATCCCTGTACTCCTTATAAGAGAGAATTTGTCTTCTCTCACGGCCACAGGTTCCCTGGATTCTATACTTACCATCTCTATGGCAGAATTCAGCATCACATCCAACTTCAGTGCAATTTGAGATTCTAATGTGAAGAAGAACTCAGTACTCTTACCTTTGAACTAGAGTTCCAAAGATGAGACGAAAAAATTTCTGCATGTTTTCAGTACATAGCCATTTCCACTGTTCCATTAGCAGCAAGAGAAGCAGATCCAGGGCTGTGTCAGCTAACTCTGTCTCTGTTCCTGAGGGATGAAAAGGCATCAAAAATAACTCAGAAGAGACCCATACTTAAGGGATACCCTTCTACGTACTGGGTGGCACTTAAGTCGTCTCTACCTTCATATCTCCACCTTCTTTTACTTTTGTAATCCTTCTGCACTCAAATCAAGAAATTTACATTTCATATCTACAGAGTTTAGTAATAGGCTCAGTACATCTTTATAATTCTTTTATTTATGTTCTTGATATTGTTACCTTGTAAATGTTTCTATGTTTTAAAAAGATTTTGCATATAATTATTTTGCCTACTTGGTTCTGCCTCTTTTATATTTCCCCAGGATGCTGAATACATTCTGTTCCACAACTAGTAACTAACTGGAACTGGTAAAATCTCCTCTCTTTCACCCTTGCATTCCACTTGTTCCACAAAGCATCAGTGAAACATTGTAGGTAGACTTGGGGAAATATTTAGGCTTAATTCTCCTCCAAAACCTCCATTACACAGAGCTGTCAGGTTGGGATTCAGGAGGCTTCAGTATTCTGAGATAATATGCAGTTCTAGAAAGAACACCACACCTCTGGTAAAATGCCACAGCAGTTACTGATTTCTTTCCTGGGCCACAAATGAGCTTATATGCATGCTAAGTTGAAGTTTCTTAAACAAAGGCATTTTACCTGGTCCAGGGCTTCCATGTCACTTCTGATTTGTCTCTTAGTACATAAGGCTCCAGAATGAATCTGAGATACCTGGTGCTCTGCTGTGATTAATATTATAAGCAAACATCAATAATAACTTTGTTAGTTTCGGGCCAGTGGGTATTTTCTGGACCAGTGGGTAGTCTCTCCTCGATAAGGGTTCTTTAGAATGAGTAACTTCCGATTTGGATGGATCTACTAGAACTCAGTCATAGTTACCTCTGAGCCCCATCCAATACATATTTTCTTTCCTGTACTGTACTACAAGGGGGTATGGGAGCTAATCTGTTTCCTGCTTTCTAGTCATTTGCTCAAAGATGGGATATTCTGTTCCTTGGGAAACACCATTCTAAGCCTTAGTCGTCCTCCTCAAAGCCTTTTTTCAGGTTTAGCAATTGCCTAAAGCTGCCACCATGTGGTAACAATCGGTCATAGCCATGAAAAATAATGTAAAAAGGTACTAGAAAATCCTCTTAAAGAAACCGGTAAGTTTTCTATCTTAGCATTTTGAGTATCTCAGAGCTAGAAGGGCTCAGGCATAAACCATCCCTTTAGAGATCAGATATCAACATCTGCAGGCTTGATTTTTGGTAGAATGATATAGTTTTACCCATCCTATCTTATTTACAATCTCTTAGGAGTTCTCTGATGTTGTGACTGTCACACCACTTCACTTCACCAGTGAGACCTGTGAAGGGATAAGGATGACATAATCACTTTTCAAATACTTAAACTGAGATCCATAGAGAAGAGGTCAGGTGATTTGTTCATGGGCACCTGAGGGAGAATACTGAAACTGGTTTTTTGTCTCTCTTTCTGAACCCAAGATTTTGTGAACTTTTATTTTCAGAAGAGGGCTTTGTCTTGATGGCATCAATAAACTTCTTTTAAGTCCTGTATCATCAAACATACTTATTAATATCCGGGACTCTGAACTTTTCCTCTGTAGAGTACATCTGTTCTTCTCCTGAGAAGCAAATCTGCCCTGCCTCAAAATGCTTATAAAAAAAGAACGGAACCTTCAACTTTTCTCCCCTCCTGGTCTACCTTGGATGACTAGACTAGGTGGTATTTGCCATAATAGTAAATAAAGCAGAAGAAGTGGAACTGGGGAAAAAGACAAATTCCATTTTGAACAAGTTATATTTCAGTTACCCCATAGTATATCCCAGTGAAGACATATAATATTCAATATTTGGGCATCATCGCACATGTGTTAGAGTTAAAGCCAGTTACACAGCTGGAATCGCCCAGGAAGAGTATGCAAAATAAGGAGAGACTGGACCATTGTTTTGTTAAATTCTGGTGTGTCTATGTGGCTCTTTGAGCTATGGCCGCCATGTTTCTTGGTTTGGTCCCCTCCCCTACCTTGGGGAGGTGGACCTCCCCTTACTCTCTTCATCTCTAATTTACTTTCTAAATAAACTGTATTTTCCAATTTAAAAAGAAAAAAAAAAAGAAGAGTCAGTCAAAAATCAAGCTCTGGAAGGGGGATAAGGCAGCCAACACAGTAGACTGAGAAGATGTACAAAAAAGGAAGTGAGAGAACACGGAAAGTAGTGTCCTCGACACCAAAGGAAGGAAATTCCTAGAGAAAGGTGGAGTCTGATAGCCAAAGCATGCCAAAAATAACTTGAATGAGATATCAACATTATAAGTATGATCTGATCCGGCTGGATTAGAACTGCCTATGTTTGTGCTCTTCTCCATTGCTTGACTCTGAATACTGTGCCCTACTCATCATTGTACCCCAACACACAGCTCACTTAGCTGAACGGAAGAGACATTATAGCTACAAAGTCCAACTAGCCCAAGTCCCCAGTGATCTTCACCCTGGCTCTCCTCTCTTTGGGAGCAGAAGCCTTGCTACTCACCCGGATCACTATCGCTGAGGTCTCGGGTTGGCATGGCTACATCTGACAAGCAACTGTCTACATATTCTTCAGGGATTTGTTCAGGATCTCTTTCTGGGGCTTTTGGTGGCTGCATTTCCAGTAACTTCGTTTGTTTTTCAATAAAGGATTCCATCCCAGACATGGATGGGATCTCTGATTCCTGAAGAAATAGCCAGTGGCATATCAGGTAAAGAACATAGACAGTAGGAGAGGAAATGTGGCTCTCTCAGTCTCCCTGTCTCTCCTCTGCAAAAGTACCCTGAGTATAGAACCCAGCTGACTCTGACTACTTTAGGAATGTTTTAATTTTTTACACAAGTTGCAAGCCTACTCTAGGATTACCAATTCTGCACACAATTTTTGGGTTATCTGTTCTCTTCTAGGAACTAGCTTTCTTTCTCATCTTGTGTCCATTATTCCCAACCCACAAATGTTGAGAAGCCTACCCGTCTACCTAAATGGGTATGAATTCCAAACCACTTAGACAAACACTTTTAACATAAAAATTAGACAACTAGATATTTTAATAAGACATTTAGCAGGACCTTTCTGACTTTAGAGAATAATTCAACTGCCTATAACTCAGGATCAACATCTCAGATCTTAATGCCCTAAGTTCTCTGAGGTTTAGTTTTTACCATGTTGCCTTCCTGGAGACAATAGAGGATCTTGTCTTGTACATCAGTTACACTTAGCACTGGAGCAATTTTGGATGAGAACCTCAGTCTGGACCTGGTACAGAAACAAAAAGCAGAACAGAACGTAATTCCTGGTCTTGATCCCCATACAAAGGGCTGGCAAGTATTGACAATACATCAAAACAAGAACACCCGTATATTTCTTAGGAGCTTATTGTGACCAGAGTTGCCAGGAAAAATTTGGTCCTAATATCCCCCAAATATATATTGGCTATTATTAACAGATAGTGCAACTCATACGCTAAGCTATGTCTACAGTACATTTGTGAAAGGGCTTTTGCTAAATAAAATAGGGACCAGTCTGTATTATGGTTAATTTCCACAGGCCAAAAGAATGGCTAGCACATACTAAGCACTCATTAAAAATTTGTTGAAGGTTACACAGAAAAGTAGCATAGACCAAAGGTTTTTGTTATTGTTGTTCATAGTGTTTCCTTTTTTGTTTGTTTGTTTTGAGTTGGAGTCTCACTCTTTCACCCAGGCTGGAGTGCAGTGGCACGCTGCTCATGGCCACCATAGCCTCGACCTGCTTGGCTCAGTTGATCCTTCTGCCTCAGGCTTCCAAGTAGCTGGAACTACAGGCACGCGCCACCATGTCTGGCTAATTTTTTGGTTTACTGTAGGACAAAGTCTCACCAAATTGTCCAGGCTGGTCTTGAAACCCTGGACTCAGGAAATCCTCTTGCCTTGGCCTCCCAAAGTGCTAGGATTACAGGCTTAAGCCACCATGCCCGGCTTATAGTGTTTCCTTTTTAGATATCCATTTTTTCCTTATGTTCCAAATAAAAACAGATAAGGAATTGGAAGTAGTAACTTCAATGTTTCGAGGAATAGGGGACTCAGGGACAAAGGTATCAATCATGGTCATCCTTCAAAATTTGGGCACAGTAAAAAAAAAAAAGGCTAAGTACTGTGAGTCTGTAATTGCTGGTTATGAAACATGAGCCCAGAGTCAAAGACCAGTCAGACAGACAGACACACACACACACACACACACGCTCTTTCTTCAGAATGACTCAGAGGGAGATGGAATTTCCAATAATGGTAAGTATGTGTCCTTGCCTTCTACATGTTGGCTTTGAGTGCTGCCAGGAAACAGCTGGGACCTTAGTGCAGGAGATGGTAGAAGCAGCCAACCAGTTACTAAAATAGGCCCTGCAGGTTTCCATTCTAGCCCTTTCCTGCTTATTGCTAGTACATGCAATGTCTGAGCCAAGATTTCCAAAAATGATGGCAAACAGAAACTAGTTATAAGCCTTAATTATTAGTAGGAAAGAAACATCTCAATTTCCTTGGAAAACAGAAAAAAGAATATCCATATTCTAGAGTTTTCCTCTAGTCCAAAATCTCTAGTAGTCCAGAGTATGTATGACCTACCTTCTCTCTTCTAGTGCTTGAGAATGGGGTGAGTTTTGGCTGAGGATTGGGAATCAACCTGAGAATTGGGGAAGGGTGCCTAGGTGACTGAGAGCTTCTTACTTGCTTGCCTTTTTGCCTTCTGTCTGGGACTTGCTTTCAGACTCAGCCTCACTGAGCTCCTCTGTGGGGCTCTGGGGTTCAGAGCGAGGAAATGCTGTCTTCAAAGTGTCCACAATAGCACTCACCACCATCTGCAGGGGTCAGAGGTTCAAGGTCAGTAAGGTCATTCACATCCCCAGATGTAAACCAGTAAATGAGCAGTTAGCTCATAGTGCTTTATGCAGCAGGATGAGTAGAGAGCTAGGCTAACAGTCAGAGCTTTATACAACAGGAAAGTCAAATACCAGGTAATGACTTTTTGATAGCTATCCACCTTTTTATCTATGGCCATAAAAATCTTCTTCCTTGCAGAGTAAAATAAACAATGCCATGGGAAAAGAAGCCAAAACAAACAGTGATATAAATAAAAACCTAGGAGTTCTGCAAACTGGTAAATTTCATGTGTTGGGTGTTAGGAGAGATCCTTAGTATTTTTCTTTTTAAATAAAAAAGTAACTTCTAGTTTCCAAGTTGATAATACCATTTCTAAGAAGTGCATAAGTGGGAGTAGTATAGGTAGCCATTTAAAGAGAAAAGAAAGAGTGAAGAAGATGATTATATGTGTGTGTGTGCGTGTGTGTGCGTGTATACATATATATATATATATATATATACACACACACATACACACACATATATATAGAGAGAGAAATTCACACAAAACAAAGAATTGTGTTTTCCAGTCAATTCAAATAAGTTTTTTTCTTTAGTTACACAGAAAGAATACAAAAATCACTCAGGATAAAATTAAGGTAATTGGAGTTGATATGAACTTCTCTACTCATAAAGACCAAATCAAATCACTGAAGAATAAGAATTATCTCTACTTCTCAAAATGAAAAAAATAACATAGATATTTGCTAAAAAGGAAAATGTACAAACAAAACCCTAAAATATCAAAGGAACAGAATGAAACATTTACTTTTCCATTGGTGACTGGTTAATGAACACTGCTGGCTCAAAGCAACATTATGCCTTCTTTAACTCATTCTTGCAGTACTTTGGCACAAGCAGCATAGCCAGTACAGATAAGACAAGGCTGATGTCATCAATACTACAGTAAAAGACCAGGGGAGAACAAGCCAGGGAACAAATGTAGATAATGTAGCTTAGAAAACACAACTTGCTCTCAAGGCTCACAGACTCATAGTCCGTGGGTGTGTGTGAGGGGTGGTCCTCATCTGTTTTGTTCCTGCTATATCACCATTAGCTAGTACAGTGCCTGGTCCAAGAGGTATCCAGTGAATTGATATAGAAAGGACTAACGAATGCACACATATGCGTGGATCTCTGTGGTTTTAATCTATTTGATACCTTGCTTATTTGCAGGATTCTCCACATAACAGTGGATCTCTCCTAACACACAACACATGAAATTCCATTTTATCTTGTTCCTCCAAGCCTAGATTGGAAGAGGAAGGTTCCTCTTCTGCCAATAAACCAGTGTTTCTCAAACTTATAAACACATGCCACTTTTGATCAACATAAACCTCAGACTTCTGCTCTGAGACTAGCATCACTACTTACAAGCTCCAACATATAACACAAATGTCCTTCTCTTACCATCTCCATAGGTGATGAGTCAACATCTTGAAGAAAGTACAACTCTCTGCACTATTTTCCAGCAGAGCCACTATATTAATCTGAATCCGGCTTAGTGTTCCTAGGTTTCTCTTTCCTGAGTAACCAACACTGGAAATGAGTTTTACCTCTAAAAAGAAATGTGCCATCTCCAGAAATCTATGTCTGAAGACACAGATCTATCCTTACATGCCTTATTAGAACAATATCACAATACCCTCCAAGAGATATGTGTACACTTACAGAGTTGGGGTACTGTTTCCAAACTGATAGTCACTGTGATTCAGCAAGGTGATGATTCAACCAATAGTTGGCAACAGGTCTTGAAAATTCTAGTCCATGTTCTAGTGACTCCTTGTGCTGCCCCTCCCCATGTGTTACCTCTCTAATTTTTCAAGCATTGCCTCCATTCTGATGAATACTTTGTATTTATAAATAGAAACTAAAGCTGAGCACAGTGGCCCGGCCAATACCTTGTCTATTCTAGAGACCATAAATGGTTTCTTGACAAAGGCAATACGAGCATCTGTGTTCAGAGCAAGGAACTCCTGCACCTCCTCACTGTTAGCGATCTCAGGAATGGCACAGAGTTGCTGCAAAAGTAAAACACAAAAGAAATTTTCAAGAGAAATTCCAGTCTCCAGATCTCTCCACCCTAACTTGGGTGTCTAGGGGTTAGAACGAGAGCGAAGCCAAAAGAGAAGGATGCTGACCTTTAGGAATGATTCCAGGAGGCTCTTACGGGCTTCTACTCTGTCACTGTCCATGTTTCCAAATGGAAGATCTGGAAACAGCTTTTTAGGACCCTTCACATCTTAAAAAAAAAACAAAACTTGCTCATTTAACATTCATAGAGCTATTTAATATAAAACACATCAAACATACAAAGGAAACACAGCTATGGCATATACTTCCCCTGGATTTTTCTTTTTAATTTCAGGAATTCCAAATATGCCCTAGGAATATGATACATACAATACTACAGTGGTTATAAGTAAGGGCTCTGAAGTTCAATGGACCAAGTTTAACTTTTGGCTCCAATTCCTACTATAATAATGACCTTAGACAAGTTGTGTCATCTTTCTGTGATTTTATTTATTTATTTATTTTCTGTAAAATGGGGATAATGATAGTATATATCTCACGGGCTGTTATGAGCATTAAACGAGTTAACATCCATAAAGTGCTTAGAAGAGAACCTGGCACATATTTATAAGCTTGGCTCAATATTTGCTAAGGTTATTAAGAAAGAAAATGCGTAATTTATGCCCAAACTTATTAAAATGCTTATTTGGGTGATCATCAGCAATTTTTTTAAAACAAAGTTGATGGTTACTAGCTTGTTTTTAGAGTTAAATTTTATTACTATTTCCTTCCGTGCCTGAGAGGTATAAAAACACCTACAAAAGATCTGGTTGTTAAAGGAAAAAAGGTGGCAAGAACTTCTGGAAAATATTTTAATATTTACCAGTCATCAATCTATGAATCCAGAAAAGTTTAACCCCTCACACTCACTCATGGGCACAGGTGGAAATATGAACTCTTCTTTTTTAAGCTTAAAATAAATGGGGCTCCAGGGCAAAGCATTCAGTGGCAAAAGAATACCACAGAAAGAATGCAATTAGTGCTGCCCAGCACTAAAGCCCAAAACTCCCCAGAAAACTTGGAGAGCAGAGAACCTGAATGCTACATTTTTCTCCTCCACCCCTCCCCACAAACCAACAGGCCACCAAGCTCTCAGATTTGGGTGGCTGGATGTGAGAAGCAAGCATGCAGTCTGGGGCTGGGTAAACTCCTGACTTTTGATGAACTTTCGTAGATCTGGTTTCTCCTCCAGACGAGTCTGCAGATTCAAGAATTCCCGGTAGCGGCGGTTCACAGTATGGTAGGCCAGTTGCTGCAGGCCGCTGCTGTTCTCACCGTCAAGGGCTGTCTCATACTGTTCAACGAACAAATCAATCAGCCGAGTTTAGGCAACCTTGTGTTCTGCTTAATGACTACTTGTTCAATGGCCACACATTAAGAGTAGGAACAAAGGGAGGGAGATGCTCCTAGGCTGCTCCAGAACGTCCTACATCTGATTGCTGCCCTAAGCTGTAACAAGTAACTCAAACCCCAAGAGGGGTTGATTAAGGAATGAGGTTCACTTCCTCATATTAATACATGGCCCAAATGAGTTTCACTGCTCCTCACTACTACTTCCATTTGAAAGCTCCTTTTCCCAGATACTTTTTTAACTTATAAAAAATAGCTACGTAACTATTTATCAAGATCCCAAGACTGAATATAAAAGAGAAGGCAAAACACCTATAAAAATGAAACTGCCTTTATCACCCCTAAATTACAGGGCTAGATAGCATACAGGGAAAACCATCTTGTCACTACACTCAATCAGTGATTATCTACGTTAGTTGGGAGAAGAACAAATAATCCAAGCAGCAAATGAACAAAAATCACTTGCTTGCCTGGAATAAATAAAAGGGGCATGTGTTTTTGTTTTGCTTTGGGCAGATTAACTTTCCTAATTATTATTCTTAGAGCTAAATTGAATTTTTTTCCTAAGTACATCTCATCTGTATCATTAGAAATCACATGAAGACTGGAGCTGTTATAAGGGATCAATGTCAGCTGACTTCACATGCCCAGAGGACTGTTTTGTGGGAAAAGATGGCTTGCACTGCATGATCCCCAAAGAGTGAACACCATAAACAACACAGAACCTGGCATTCAAGGGAGACTTTCTGACACAGTAGCAAAGACAAAATGAAATGCAGTGGGAGAATTATAGATGTGCTCATTCTTAATAGGAGTAGGTTACTGTTATTTTTTTGGTTGAAGTATCATACTGTGGGCAAGTGATGGACAATCTTTCTTCTTGCCTGCAGGACTTGAGGTTAGTGTTTTAAACTTTTCTAGAGACAGACAGGGTGAGTTATTCATTATGAGCTGATGTGAGTAAAGTATTCCCTCAGAACAATACTGAGAAGGAAAGATCAGGTAAGAGACAGGTGGTCAGGGTGGGGCTCTCAAACCTGGAGTACCTGGGAGTTATGACACTTCCTGTGGAATATTTTGCTCCTGGAGGGACAATATTCAATACCGATATGTTTACTTCCATCACATTAACTAAAAATTGTTTTACTATCAGAAAGTTCGATAATATTGACTTTAAATTTAAAATCATACTTAGAATATGTCCATATAAAAAATTAAATCCAATCTCAAACCATACAATTGGCTAGATTTTCACTTTACCATTTTCTGATGCCTACTTAGATTAAGTAGTAACAGATGTCAAAATTTAGCAACAAAAAGAAAAAAGAATAAGTAATGGAACAGACTATAAACTTAAAAATTCTATCCATCAACTTAATTTTTCTACTAATGAGGAGAAAAAACTTGTTTAGTATCAATGTTGGAATGTGTCATAAATAGCAGATGAAATAACCAGAAGCCAAATAACCAAAACATGTGAGAAAGGGGCATGTTATGGGGACACCCAGAATTAGGAAAACAAAAGGCAAGCAAAATGTTAACTAATCCTTTGTAGCTAGCCTGAACGATCTGACCAGGCACCTGTACTTCTCAAATGTGCCTACTGTATAGGGTGTGTGTTTCTAATTGTTTCCATTCTGTCTGACTTGAAATGTCATAACTTTACTTCCTAACATGCTGGGTTTATGCTGCAGCCGTGTTGGGTGACTCAGGGAAGATACTCTCCTCTACTTGGATTGGGATTTCACAGAGGGGATGCAGCACCCAGGCTCCAGTCTGGTGGTAGCTTTTAGACTTGGAATGAGAAAAACTCAAGAAAGCAAGTAAAACCCAATGGATAGGATCTTGCCCAGGAAGTCTTTCCAAACTTCTTCCTTGCTAATTTATTTTTCTTTCTTTTTAAGAATACTAGTATCTTTTGTACTTTGTTTTAGGAAGGTAGGTTATTTAGCTATATTTATCTCAGAAGGTAGCAAGTTTCTTAAGATGTCAAAACACAGACCTGGGGACCACTTGATAGAGATATAAAGAGGGCTAGTTAGATTAAAGCAGTAGTTACCCCAAAAAGGCCTTAGGACAGGCTGCCTCCATGTTACCTGGAACGTTCTATTTTTAAAAAAATACAGAATCCTGAAATGCTCTTTCAGAATTTGTCAGAGTCTGTAAGAATCTGTGCATTTAAAAAAATCAACCCAAGTGATTTTGAGGTGCAGTCAAGTTTGGGAACCACTGAAAAATATAAGCTTCCATATTCTAACAACCCTGAGACTCTAGGATTGTTTGTGTGAGTACTGGAAATGAGCCTACTCTGCTTCAGATCAAGCACATATAGATGCTTGTTGAATTAAACATTGCAAACCAGGAGTCTTCTCTCCCCTGAGGTCATTCGCTTCACTGATTGCTTTCCATACCCATTCCTAAACCCAGAATGGATGCCTGCAGCTTTAATCCTGTTACCTTCACAGTGTAGAGTGTGTATGGGTGGAATCCGGTGCCACTGTGTTCTCGGGCGGTGATGGTACCAGTGATACGAAGGTTCTGGATAACAACTGGGCCATCTGGACTGTTCAGGGGCTCAAAGCTGAAGGTGGCAGAGCTGAGAGGACCAGGTGGAGAGGAGGAAAGCAGAACTGGTGGCAGACTAGGATCAAGGGAACTCATACCATTGGTGAGATCCTTCTCTAAGCACAAGGGTCGTGGGAGGCAGGGCTTTTCCGGCCCTTCCAGCAAAGCTGTAGAAGTGATGTCTTCTTGCTCTACCTCCTTGTCTGCTGTGTTAATCTGGATCTCTGGACAGGAGTTCAGTGAGGAGACCAGTAGGCCTGTCTCTGTTTCTGTTCCCAGAACCTCCTCAGTCTCTGATCCTTCAATGCCTTCAGATCCCTCACTATCCTTAGGCTCCTGAGCCTGGGAACCCTCTAGGACACACAGGGCATCCTGGATCCTGTCAGAGAGAAAGTTGCCTGGAGTCATGAGCATGATGGTTTCTTTGCCCAGTTCAGAGAGTGGTGACTCCAGTTCCGAGTCTTCACAGAAAAATAGGGGGCCTCGAATATCTGGCTGCAGGAAATGAGATGAGTTGTTTCCTATTTTTCTTTCTTCAGACATCCCACCCAAATCTTCCTCTACAGCTTCATGGCCTTCTTCAATCTCTGGGGAGGGACCTGAAGGCCCCTCTGGCTCACTGATGCTTAGGAACACTGGGGCTGCTACTGGAGAAGGGGCTCTCCCTTCTGGCATTTGCTCTACCTCAGCAATCAGTGGCAGAGATGTGGGCACTGAGGGCTGTTCAAGGGCACTGGTTGTGCAGACTGGTTTAGCCACTTGTGCTGGATCTTTGGCCTTGGAAAAGATACCCACGAGGACAAGGTGGATCCAGTCAGGATCCGACATCCTGCTGATCAGGGGTAAGACTACATTGCAAGTAATGAGTTCAACCACTATGTGACGTCCGGTCCGAGTCTCCAAGTGGGACTTGGGCACGAGTTCTTGAAGTAACAAACCCACAATGCCACGGGTATAGGTCACTTCAGTACTGGGGCTGTGCACTGCAGGATGTGGGACAGCAGTCCGGCAGTAAGCCTCCCAGATCTGGGAGGGCTCAACTGGACCATTCTGCTTCCCTGCTGTAGCTTCTTTTGCCTGAATGTAGCTCTGCAGGTGACAACCGCAGAGAGTCAGGACACTCTGGACAAGAGCATGACTATCCATCATACTTATCCTCCTCCGAAGCTCCTGAACCGACCCTTTCATGGCTGCCTCTATCTCTTTCTCAAAGGCTGGCTCCTGACTCACTGAACGATACCAAGATAACACAAAATCCCGAATAATCATCTGGATAGTGCGGCTGATCTCCTGTTCCAGTTGCCTTTCTGCCTCGGGGCATGGAGGGCAGGTGGCCACCTGGATGAAGCGTTCCAGGTGCAGCCGACCTGAAGCCCCCGCAATGGCGCTGGAGCCCAGCCACCCTCCCAACACCACCAGCAATGCAGAGAGAAGGCACAGAAGCCATACATTGACCAGAAGGTGTATGACCAGGAGCCAGCCGAGCAAGACCCCCACGGCCATCAGCTTCCGGCTACTCATCAGATTACTGAGGTTCCAGTTGGACTCCACTGAAGTCTCCGGCAACGGAGGCACTGCCTCTGCCTTCATGGTTGAACTGACAAGGTGGCTTCCCCAGATGACAGTTCCCTAGATTTTACTTCAGAGTTAGAGAAGGTGGCATGGCTGTGACCTAGGCACGAAGAGGTAGGGAAACCGGGGTTCTGGGCTCTCGAAGTCCTACCGACGCTGTAAAACGACGGCGGCAGCTCTGCTTCTCCCCCTGATTACCACCAGCCGAGTCCTCAAGCTGGCCGCTTACGGAAGAGATGCTGCTTTCGAGGAAAACCCTGCGGCCTTCATAATGCCCGGGCAGCCTAAGGAAGGCGGTGCAGGCCCCCAGGCCCCCTACACTTACAAACGCGAGGGCGGCGGCCTGCCAGGCAGGGTCACACGCCGCCAGGGGTCGCGCGCCCGGACTGAGCCCCGACCTGGAGTGGACTCATTGGTTCCTCCTCGCCGGCTTTCGCCCGCTGCCGCCGCAGGCTCAGCAGCCCAAGTTCTGGTTGGGAACTGCCGGCCGGTCGCCGGCTGCTGGCGACAGCTTCCGGGTCGACGTCTGCGGGAGCGAGGCATGCCGGGAGAGCTGTCGCGCTCGCAGAGACACGGCGACGTCCGGCGCCCTCTGGTGGTGAGGAGCCGCCAGGCCGCCACTGGCGCACACTGGTCTGAACTTGAGTGGACACAGAGCATGTGCTCCCTAAATAACGGCGGGCATAAACTCCCAAGTGCAACCGAACAGAGAACGGCCTTGCAGCAATCACCGCAAAGTCTCAGCCCATCCAGATCCTTCAAAACGTGCCCCAGCTCTGATTATTAAATGAAGTCTGCAAATATCTTTTATTGCTTAGGCACATTCTCAATAATCCCGTGAGAGCAGTTTATTTTCAATGGCGTGATGGATTTTAGCACTCACCCCACTTTCTCCAGGGGTCGCCCTCCTCCTCAATATACGGCCCACCTAACTTATTCTCATGAATTGCAGAATACACGGCATGAAACATAATACAGAGATAAATTTATTCCTTAATTTCCCATCAAATTTGTGATGTAGGGTTATTTGCTGGTATAGAGAGCGAATATTTTAAGCATCTGCTATGTTCAGTCACTGTGAAAAGTAGTGTGGAGGAATAGAAGCTGTCTTTGTCCTCTAGGATCTCGATGCCAATTCGGGAGTTCAGGTCTTAGAACACGATGGGATATTGAATAATGCAAGTCAATATGGAATATAATAAAATGCACAATCTTACAGGTAATTAGGGAAAGGAAAAATCACTTTGGGTTGCAATAGCTAAGGGTGACCTCATAGAGAAGGTGCCTTTATGAGGAATCTTCAAGGGTGAGGATTTCTTCCTATCCATTTCCATCTCTTCTCCATCTTTCCTCCCCAAATATACAGGAAAAGAAGAAAGAGGTAAAGCTGTGTTTTCAGGTCATTATTTACTATATTTGGTTTGGAATGTGCTATATGCTTGATTTTTTGTTTGTTTGTTTGTTTGAGTAAATTTGCCTTTAGTTGGCTACACAGATTTATCTCTAGAAAGACTAAATATATCTGATAGTAGCACTGATTGTGTGTAAAAGCGTTTGTGTCAGCCAGTGGTTTTGTGTGAAGCCAGCTTCCTTCCTTATCTTGGTCCTTAGTAGTTCTATCTGCAGTGTGGCTCTCCTTTTTATTTTGGCACAGGATGTATATTATTTGCATAAAGCTGCTCATGGTTGCTGATCTTCGGATTCTCTATGCTATAAGTAGTCTTTTATCATTTAGCACTAGTCCCTAGATGTTTAAAGGAATCTTTAGGCACATTCTAACCCAAAACTGTGCCAACAAGAATCATATTGCAGCTTCTTCTCTCATCTTTATTTCTACTGTTGGTGCAAAGATTTCTTTTGAACGCAAAAGGAACCATCATTTAAGTGTGACCCACAGTTTATGACTAATCATGTTTAAAGCAAATGGTCTGATTTAGGATCAAAGTGTCACTAAGCAGACTGGGCATAGCCCTGAAATCCCAGAATGCGAGTCTGTATTGCCGTGGCACACACCATTTCACTGCTGCCTGCCTTCCCTCAGAAGAGGAACACAAGAAGTGGACTCTGCCCCGTTTTTCTTTCCCAGACCTTTCTATTGTCCCCAGGAGCACTTTGAAGATAACAATACTCTGAAGAAATATCTCTGCCACCTAGTTGGTAACTAAAATAGAAAAGTGAATTAAGAAAAAAACGAATGATGATGCTAAAGACTGCCTGTGGCAGTTCAGAGAGAAAGTTTACTCTGCAGCATAATCTGGAATGTTCAAGGCAGTAACGAAGTGACCTTGTAAGTGGGCGCTATGCCACCTGACCAGATGGTCTGGAGCATTGAGGTAGCCAAGAGTGCCTTCCTGATTCTGAAGCGGATTTGATGGACGTGCCGATGCACTTGTCATTTGGACTGGTGTGAGTTTCTGCCTAGGGGTCTGGGCAGGACTCAGTCTCCGAACAGATTAATCAACGGGAGGAGGTGAGAGTCAGGGCTGATGTGTGGTGGTATGTGTGATGGGGGTTGTTGAGGGAGAGGCTAGTTGTTTGGCCACACCACTCACCATCTGGAGAGGTCCTTCCTTCTTTCCTTCTTACCATTTCTCAAAACATTAAAGGCATAGTGCTAGGGTATTGGGGATAACAAGACAAATAAGATACAGTAATTTACCTGAGGAGATACTCAGTCTAGCTAAAGAAAAGAGATGCATAATTAAATGTAACTAAACTTGGTAACATGTTTAGTAAGGTGTTATAATAATTACAATAGAAATATGTACAATAAAATGGGAACACAAAGGAGAGGTGGTCAACTGGGGAACTGAGTGATTCACAGAAAGTTGGGAAAAGAGGCCAGGCATGGTGGCTCATGCCTATAATCCCAGCACTTTGGGAGGCTGAGGTGAGAGGATTGCCTGAGCCCATGGGTCTGAGACCAGCCTGGGCAACTTGGCGAGACCTCATCTCTACAATAAATCAAGAAAACTTAGCTGGGCATGGTGGTGTGCATCTGTAGTTCCAGCTACTTGGAAGGTTGAGGTGGAAGGATTGCTTGAGTCCAGCAGGTCGAGGCTGAGGTGGCCATGAGCATGCCATTGCACTCCAGGCTGGGCGACACAGTGAGACTCTGACTCAAAAAAAAAAGAAAGAAAGAATGTTGAGAAATGAAAAGGAAGTGAATGTATTTTGGAAAAATGTGGGTAGAGAGTTTGGGGGCAAAAAGAAGGGACGTCTTTTAGGCGGAGGCATGCTCATGAAAAGCAGAGCAAGGAGGCCTGCAACAAGGGGCCATGCTGGAGTCAGCCACACATTCATTTTCTCACAAAAACAGAAGACCAGGTGACTTACTCAAAAGAAGTTCAGTGATGGGACAGGTGAGTGAGAAGAGATGATGGCACGAAATTATTGCTATGAGAAGAGAAGTTAAGGAAGGTCACATAAAAGAATAGAGAGGAACTGAGGACCTTTACGAGGTTAAAATTTATAAATGTGTGAAGGCACCAATACATATTGCTGTGTTACTTTCTCTGGAGGTGTTTAGTATCCTCCATACTATATGGGAGAAACAAGCAGGAGATTGATCTGTGGCTGCGTTGCGAGTATTAGGGAAGATGAAGAGAAGGGAAAAGTGATCAGGACCTTAACATCCTGAGAAGAAAGTTGTCAACATTTAAAATCATAGTGTCTAAGTATTTGGGGGAAAAAATGAAGCTAGGAGAGAGAGAAATAATTTTGAGTACAGAACTGGGTGTACTGGGGAAAAGTTAGTGAAAAAGGTTTATGGTTAAAGATTGGTCTATTAGAGCCTGTGTTCATTCCCTACTGCTGCACTTCCAAATTACCACCAACTTAGTGGCTTGCAGTAACACAAATGTGTTCTTTTACAGTTCTGGAAATCAGGAGCGTCTAGAGGCCACCTGTGTTCTTTGACTTATGGCCCCACATTACTTTGACATTATTCTTCTATTATCATATCTCTTCCTCTCACCCTGACTCTTCTGCCTTCTTATAAGGACCCTTGTGACTCCCTGTGTCTTCCCTAAGAACCCAAGAGAATCTTACCATCTCAAGATCCTTAACTTAATCATATCTGCAAAATCTTTTTTTCCCCAAATAAAGTAACATTCACAGGTTCTGGGGATTCAGATGTGAACACCTTTGTGGAGGACATTGTTTGACCTACTATATAAAACCTAAGTATCTAAAGGTGAAAATATGATTGTGATGTCAAAGTCTGCCTATGGCCAGTAATGAGTTCCTGAAGGGTATGGATAACCTAGGGATGGGTTTGAGGAAGAGAGTTTAAGTCTTTATTTTATTTTTATTTTTAATTTTTAATATATATTTTTTATTTTAAAATTGTGGGGTAAAGTTAAGGGTTAGGTGTACAAATATTCATTGTGCAGCTACCCTTGTTGATGAGGTGAGATTAAGTCTTTATATTTGAGAAGGATGATCTACACGGGCTCGGGAGTCACCAGTGTTAGGATAGAGAGAACTGTGATCTTAGGATAAAAGTTTTCAATACATGAGAAGAATGACCAGAAAGTTGACAGGTGATGAAACAAGAGGAGTGAAGTTTGGTAATGACAAAATAGGAGGAGGAAGTTTTGCATAAATTAGGAAAGAGTCATCTGAAAGCGGACACAAAGACCTGGGATATTGCAGGAGCACTTCCGCATCCTGCCTTAGATGCAGTGATGAAGACAAAATGACCACCAGAGGGCAGCAGAGAGCAGCAGTTTAAGAAATTGCATCTCATTCATGCATTCACTGATTCATTCATTCGGTCATGGATCCATCCAGCTCATCCCATAAGGATTAAGCTAGGTATTGGGAATTCAAAGATGGACTTTATTAAATAATTCACAATCTATCACAAGACACAAACATTGACATAATGTAAAAAAGTGCTATCATAAAAATGTGTCAAAATGTGGGAATACAGAGAATTAGGGAAAGTTGCACAGAAGAGATGACATTTGACTTGGCTTTAAAACATATGTTAAATTTCCCACCAATACAAGAGGAGCAACTGAAATAGGGAAAA